ACAAAAAGATTAAATGAGATACAAAGATATGGCCACAAATGGGGTCACAGGGAAATGATGAAAAACCGACTGATGGAGCTTTAGCAGTCCATGCACGTTCTTCCTGCTCTGAGCTGCTCACGTGACCTTAGAAATAATCAGCAGACATCCTCTAGCACACGATACCTTCAAATAGGACTGGCCTGGCCTTCTCTGGGTTTCTAGCTATACAAAACAATGATACAGATGTAATGTCGTGTTTAGGGAAACCCCAGACTGCAGATTGCTAGAGGCTAGGAGACTTTGTAGGGGGAGGAACGTTCTGTGTTTCCTTTCTCCCTTCTTTTCCTAAGTAGCTGGTACTGCCCAGAGTTAGATGGGACGCTAGGCTGGCTGGACCTTTGATCTGTCCCGCTATGACTAGTCTAGGTTTTTCCTCCAGGGGAGTATGTGTGTTTTGTGTCTATATCCATTAGAGAATCAGGGCTGTGGGAAATGTTGACTCTACTCTTAGTGCTAGGCCAAAGCTTTTAAGAATCGGCTACTCCTTACCTCTCCTTCCTCTTTCCCAAAAAGAGCTTGACTTACAGTTGCAAGATTGGAATAAAATAAAATAGAGGGGACTTTTATTTTCCTTTTTTTTTTCCCCAAGCCTTTGAAAAAATGAATTTTCAAGATTGTCTCCACAGCAGTGAGCACTTGAAAATATGGTCCCTTAGAGAATTAAAGGCCATAATTTCATATTATCTGACTGTAGGAGCTGTGGCTGTAAGCCAAACAGCAAATGTCACAAAACTCATTGAGAGACTGTGAGGAGTGCAACATTAGCCTAGGAACCACAGTTTGTGATTGTCTGGACGGGCAGAGGAAGGGGGAAGGGAAGACTAGGAGGAGGATCGATAAAGGTTCGGATCCCTAAGGAAGGCAGGGGAACTGCGGGTCCTTCTTTGGGACTTGGGAGAAGGTGGGCACTTCTCTGGGAGAACACACAAGAAGCAAGCATGCCTAAAGTCCCCCGGCTACCAGCGCTGTATGGTGTTTTGTGCAGGAGGCCAAAGTGACAGAAGCTAGAAGCAACTTGAAGGGCTGAAGTGGCGTTCGCATGAGTTGCCAAAGTTCTTTTCTGGTCAAGCTTTAATTTTTAGTACTTTTCAAAAATTCCTTTTAGGGAATGGAAGATAACAGGAACAGGTCCCAATAGGTGGGTTTCATTGGTGTCGCATAGAGAGGAATTTTCTAATTCTTATTCACTGAAGAACAACAAAAAGTGAAAAGTAGCTACTGTTACTGCTGTCAGATATAATCAGTAGCTCAAAAATTTGAAAACAAACTCATGCAGTAGCTTGACACATAATCAAACCTCTACATATCCACCACTATAGAAAGAAAATATACCAAAAAAAATCACTCCTTGTCACAGAAAACCCTGTGCATTAGTACCTAAGTGACTATCAAAGTGTCTTTAATGACAGTTCACCTGTTCATAATTGCACAACAAGCAGAGAGCAATGATTCCTTTCCAGCTAAATCTAGTTTATCTCATCTTCTCAATAGGGTACATTTGCCATGCCAGTGCACTTTGAACCAGTTTTATGATTTTATCTTCATGGTCACAAGCCTCTGCCTTGAGAAAGAGCACTTATTAACTAGAGACTGTGTCATTTTCAAAGTGATTTATTTTATGAGGGTTTTGAAATAAATTATCAGTTGGTGATTGGCCACAGGGGAAAAGCATATAAAAGCTTAGCACATGCATTGAACGTACCATCTGGTATCCTTTAAAGTCTAGCTTCAGGGTGGCTCAGCTAATTCTTCAGAGTGCATAATGTTCACAGTGCACAGTGAAGCATGAATATAAAAGTGGAGTGCCATAACCCAGTAAGAAACAACGTTGTAACTGTAGCTTAATATCTTACATCTTACTGTTGTAGCCCACCATCAAAGGCTGGCGTTTTCTTAACTAAAACTGATTTTGCATTCCATAACTTTAATCTTATTACAAAAATCAGAACTACGCCCCCCCCCCCCTTTTTTTTCCCGGTTAGTTCTAAAAGGGATGCCTCCGCTGTGTTTTAGATTTCCTCATTCTGACTCGCTGATGTAAAAGCAGGCGATACAAAAAGCATACTGTTATTGTTCCTCTGGATATCTTGTTTGTGGTATGCACAGCCTTTTGGGTGTGATAAAGTTTCCTGACTCTGATGTTTGTCACATCTCGAGATCTCTATTATTATCCCTGAAAAGCACTAAATTCTGACTTGTTGGGGACCAGAAGCTGAAATACAATGATATATAATTGAAAATCCGGTAGGAAAGGTACAAACACTGTCATTGTCTCTGCTCCCACATTCCCAGCGAGACTAAGGTATATCCTTCAACAGTGTACTCACAAATGGTCATGATATTGCTTAAAATGCATAATTCAAAGCTTACTTTAAGTATTGTCTATTGGTCTTTTCCTCCCAAATTCAGAAAGGCTAAGGCAGACAATTGTACCCAGTTTTGCCATTAAAAGACGAGAGACGTCAACAAACTGGAGGGAGCTCAGAGGAGGGCCACTGACGTGCTTAGGGGATTAGAGCACATGACATATGAAAAGAGGCTGAGAAATTTGTTTTTTTTAGCTAGGAGAAGAGAAGGGGAGGATGGCTCTAATTGCTGTCTCCAGCTACCTAGGGGGTTATAGAGCAGACAGATGCTTCTCAGTTGCAGCAGGAAAGTCTGACTAAGTACAAGAAATAAATGCTTCACAATGATAGCACTGAAGTACCGGGCTGACCGTCCAGGGATGTTGTGCAATCTCCATCTTTGGAGATATTCAAAAGGCAACTGAACAGAGTTCAAAGCTAACCCTATTCTGAAGGGGAGACTGGTCCTTTCCAACCTATATATATATATTTGACTCTAAAGAAAAACAAAAGTTGCATATGCTTGCAATGTCCTGCAGCGTGGACCTGTGATAAACAAGTGGCATGTGTATTATCACATGTCTTTCTGAATAATTTCAGTAATATCATCACAGGTCCTATAATGGAGGCATGGAAAATAACGCCTCTTACTAACTGGGAGCCAAGTTGCTTCTGCGCGGTTGCCATTGTCTTGCTTGAGAGCTGCAGGCCAGCAATAAATTTGCTATTTCAACCCTTTTTTTCCCGTTACATATTGAGAATGAACAAGGAAGTGTCTTCCAGCAGCATGTGGCCAGGGCTAGGTGCTAGGACCCCCAAGTGCTGTTGCTTGCACCGACTGGATCAGCCGTACACAGACCAAGTGAAGTTGCATTTGCAGCTCTTTTTACAACCTTCAGCGTATACATGCATGCAGATGAAGAAACACATTTGCCCGAGCAAGCCGAAAACTGTGTACACAAACAAATATTTATAAGAAAATGCACAACCCTTTGTTTCGGCAGAAAGGGGGACACGTTTACGACGTGTCAGATGGTCTTAACAGCAAGGACGGCTGGCGAGGTTATTGATTAAAAGCGCCGTCACCGTCCCAGCTTGATACGTAAGGTGAGGCATCATAACCCGCCTTAGCCACATGTGTGCTCGTTAATTAAGCTTTCTAACGACCAGACTGTGCAGGAAGAAGCAGCCATGCTGTTATTCGCTCACTTTTCCGAGCGAGGCCAAGGCAGAGGTGGTGTTTCCACAAGGACCGAGCGTCAGTGATCGCCGGACACTTGAAAAGGCGATTGCGAAAGAGCTGTGAAGTCAGCCTGAGTTTTCCACGGGATTTAATAATATTCCGAGTGAGAGGATTAACTGGCTTTTCACACCATCACGGGACCGGGTGTGTAGTAAATTGTTTAGGTAGTATGAATTGCGCAAATAAATTGCTTCAGTAAAAATATTTGCACTTTCCTGCCTGTCGCGGCGACTGCGACCCTTGGGGCCTGCTCCTGCTGGTGGTTTTTCCCTCTCCTTTCGGAAGCAGGCAGGATAACGGCGCTGAAAAGCGCGTCACAGTTTGGGAAGGGCAGGGCAGGAAAACGACGGTATGTATTTAGCCGTCATGGCCGTGACGGTCTGAAGGGAGAAGGTAGGTAGGTAGGGAGAGGTAGGGTCTTTTATCAGAAAACCTGGAAAACCTGCCAAGTTTTCAGGTGCGCAAACCGTCTTTCAGGTCCCAAAGGCCAACGCTAAAACTGGCTCTTTTGGGTAGCTCGGCCACGCAGCCGCGACCGCCATGCGGGGGGCTTCCGCGCTCGCCGAGGGGAAAAGCAGAGCGCGGGGAGGCAGGAGTTAAAAGTCCCTCCTCTCACTGGAAACACCCCCGGCGGGAGGCAGAAGTCACTTTGGTGAGGTTTTCCCGATTCTCGGTTTCCTGAGGAAGGGTTTGGGCTGGGGGGGGGAGGGG